CGGGGGGGGGTTTCTCTCCGTTCCATATCTTGCTTCAAATGTAAAAGTTCCCCAAATTGAATTCAAAGAGCAACGGGACAGAGAACAGAGAGGCCTGAGCACAGTACCCATTTGTGTAATTGTGCCCTGTCAACGGTATGCACGTCTTTAACTCCCACTCACGTTTTCACATAATGCAGACAAGGTTTAAGACAGCCACTCCAAATTTGCAAATGACCTGAGATCTCAGCTCGAACTGTGATGGTGTCGTTGTCTATTGTTGGGTTGTACGGTTCAGTAATGTTACTTGCCACAGAAATCAACCCGGATTGGGTTATCGGATGTTAACGATGAACAGCCAAAATGTCACGAGCGAACCACCTTTTATTCAGTATCTATATGGAGTTCCGTATTTGTCGGTAGATAGCAATTTGTTTATCGATCCTAATAATAATTATCTCTCCTCTTTATGCTCTTGAATAACATCATTTGGAGTTGCCATTTTTATTAACTATTTAATGTTCAATAACTCCCGTTTTCCTCATTACATAAATTGAGTTTCTCGTTTCATTCTGTGTAAATGCTTAGATGTTTAATTTTCTCATTTTTATGGTATATAATTTACAGCCTTGAAATTTTCTTTATTAGCATACTAATTTATTTCAATGAAAATCTGACCTCAATTCGGCTCATGGGCTGCTACGGAGAATAGAATAAAGCATCTTATAAATAATAAATAATGAATATGTTATCAACTGTTTCTGCCCAGAAACTCTCGGGCAAGCTATCATCAAGCAAAAGTCAACCGGTTTAATCCACAACCCGAGGCAGTATGTCAACGTCTTAGATCCGCTGTCATTAATATTTGAATAGCCAATTACAACACGGCTTCTATTTTTTGGTGAATATTTTCCACAGGTGCACAGAGAGTTAGACCCCTGAAATTAATGCATTTTCACCGAAGTGTTCCAAAATTTATGATGGTAAACATTGGCTTAATTCCCCCCTCTCGAGACTTCTTTGAAAAGCACCAACATTTGAGAAACATTAGTTACCGCTTACCGTGTTTTTGTGTTCATAAAGTATCACTTCCCTATGAATGTGTTTTTGTGTCTTGTTATTAAACACGCAAACATGTCTTTGCGTCTATTTCATTGACACATAGGCCTACGTCTTTGTTTAGAAAATAAACGCATCAATACGTTTGAGTATTGGACTGTTAACACTACGACGCGTTCATAAAGTGTTACAAGGAAGGTGTTAAAACATTAACATTTGTTTTTACGGCGTTCCCCCCAGATCTGGATAATGACATTTTCACCATATAATGGTAAATATGCGCATTTTTGATTGGACGATACCACACGAGTTCTGGTTGAAATGCAACCGGTCTCCGTCCCCCAAATTCTCCATTGCTGACTCGCACGTTTCAAGTATCCAGCCTAAAATATCGTAATGCCTGGAAAGAAACCATTGTTGTGTACGAAAACAAAATATCTCGAGTAGTCCAGTCCACACAGAAGTTCTGCTACTGAACGGCAAGAGCGACGTAATTGTTTTGTTCATCTTTGGAGTCACTTTTGTGATCATTTCTGTTTTTTGAGCGGCCGAAGGCTTCCACGAAGGCCTGTCGGTAATGGCAGCTTGTCACATTGTAGATGATCGGATTCACCGCCGAATTCATGAACACGAACACGTGACAGACCGTGAGGGCAAACACAAACTTCCTATAAGTGACGTCAGGGCGGATCCCGCTTAAATTCTCGACAAGGAAGCCGAGAGACAAGGCGATGAATGGCGTCTGGCAGAGGAAGAACACCACGCCATTGGCCACCAGCATGCGGGCGACTTGGTTGCGGACCTGGAGAGCTTGCTGGGCTTGAACTGATTGGCGCCTTACTGGGTCTTGATGGAGCTTGTGTTTCGCTCTGGTGTTGAGGCTGATGATGATCAGAGTATACATGACTGCATTGGTTACCATGGCAACGATGAAGACGGCGGATTCCAGCACATGTCCAACGATCAGCCCCCAGTGGCTGATGGCCACGCAGTATCCCAACTGGACCGGCAGGCTGTGATAGGGCTCTTCATCCGGCCAGATTGCGCAGCATTTGACGAGGTTGGCGTACCGGAACATCACCAAACTAGCGAGACCAATCGCCATGAACCAGCTTCCGCCCACCAACTTGAAACTCCTCTTCAGCCTGGCGCCCTGGCCGAGGGTGACCAACGGTTTGCAGACGGCGTTGTATCGCTCTTGGGAGACCAGACTCACCATGGAGATGGAGGCGAAATACGTGACGTACTGCGGCATGAAGGCGCCGACACAGCCCCCAAAGGAAGCGGTAGGGAGGTGACTGCGGACGGGATGCGTGAAGTAGAAGGTGTACTGAACAATGCTGGTAAGCAGAAATGTGAGATCCGCTACGGCCAGACTAGCCAGGTAGACATTAGTGGTGGTTCGCATGTACGGGACACGAGCTACCACAAAGAGGAAAGCGAGGTTGCCTGGGATGCCTACCGCCAAGATGATGAAAAGAACGGCCAGCATGACTCTGCTGTTAGCACCGCTAAGGAGGTATGTAGCCGCATCCTCCACTGATGACAAGTTCAAGAAGGGCAGGTCGTCGCACGCGCTACTTACATTCATCTTGGTAATCTGATGCCGCAACGCAGAATACCCCGCAGAATGTTCAAAATGCAAATTACAGGTAAGTCTTATGTCGTATTAGGTCTACTGGTATGTTTTCACCAGAACATCTCAGTCAGCAGTGTCAACAAAGTTTCTGGATTTGTTTCACCGCACGAAAGGGTCGTCCATCAGGCTTTGCCGTTGCTACACATTGAGCGGAAATTGGCCCCCACCCTCACATGCCATTCGATAAAACAGCCGTAGTGATGTATTACCACAGAACACGCATGCGCATGGTCACCGCCACTTACAAAGCCTGCCCCTCATCCAAGCACTGTTGACATTATCCCTACAAACACCACGCGATTCTTTCGACAATTTTTCGATTTTTGCTCTCAGCTGACTTCATGAATAGACCAGGCCTACAAATGCTGAGTGGTTCGAGTGGAACTGTAAGACTAGCCCCTCGAGGTTATCCAATGGGATTTATCCATTTTAATGACAGGCCTAACTCGGCACTGTAGAATGTCAATATAAGCGATGACATTTTGCGTCGATTCCCATTTTTGTTTTGAAACGACCTGGCCTGGACCTATCTGCTCCTTCCCCACACCACCTGAAATCGATTTATTTTGTTCAACTTTTGCTGATTTTCAATGCTAATTTTAAATGATTTTAATGTAATGCACTTTTTAGCGCTTTGATTTTAGCATGAGTGAGCAAAAATACTACTTGAATTTAAATAAATTGGAATTGTGGAAATCGGCATTTCTCCACTCCCCCTGAAATCCACTTATTTTGTTCAACTACTGCTGATTTTCAATGCTAATTTAAAAATCGTTTAATTCTCTCCTCGAACACAGGACCAGCATAATGGACAAGACTTCAAAATTACGCCAAAATATGAAGCAGTTGCACACGAACACACGTTTTCTTTTGAAGATATATCCCCCTAATGCAATCGCCACAAAAGCACTTTTAGCGCTTTGGTTTTGCACGACGGGTGAGCAAAATATTGCTTGAGTTGAAATAAATTTGAATTGTGGAAATCGACATTTCTAAAGAAGGCGACGGTCTCACATAAATTAAGCTGTTCTGCCGAATGGAATATCTTATGCTGGCGAGCCATGTTCCCCATGTTAACGGTTTACATTTCTAGCACTATGCCATAAGTGTATCATGTTTCATATTCGGAGCCATTAAAATCGGGAATTTCTATTCAACATCGACAATTCAAGTAATAGGACTGACTGCACCGTCGTGCACTGAATCAGAAACGCAGGTGCTTGAATTGAGAGGCTGGCCAAGGACGGCAAATGGCTCGTCCATTCCGGGCCTCCTCCATAGGTGCTTTCTTCAGAAATGAAACTGAATTCAGCCCCGCTCGTTACAAAAGCGCATGCTCCATTTTCATTGGGCCGAAGGGGCTGTAAATTTGCCATCGCGTCGCCCACCAGTCAAATATTGATTAATCTCACGAGGAGCTAGATTGATGTGAAACCTTCAATGCAGACCGTGGGCACAAATGAAACGTTCTCGCAGATTTTAAGAGATAAAGAATTCCGCAAATGGCGACATATTGACAGCAATAACAAACTGGTATGGTAACTGCGACACGGACCTTGATTAACTTTCGGTCACGCTTGCGTTGCCCCCATGGATAGTATGTGCTTGAATTGGGTTAAGAGTTTTGAGAAGCAAAAAAAGAAGTGTTGATTCAGCGTATTTCCTCGTTCTTTTGCAGCACAATTTACGCGTAGGCCGATGTCTTTCTAGAGCAATTTCATAAAAAAATAATAAATGAATCTTTGAAACCCCTAGTAACATGTACTGTAGTGGAAGTACTCGTTAAACCTAGTTTAAAAAGATAAAAAAAAATCGAATGAGTCCGAACTGCCTACATTAACTCATAAAAGTGAAGTTCGGTATCCAAATGATCACACCCAAAAAGCCAAGCATATTTGGTAATATCTCCCAGGAACTATACCCTTTTGCCGTCTTGACTGTTTGCTTACTGATATTTTCACAGCCACGGCATGTCGGTCAGCTCCGATTAGGGCTTATGAAAAAAAAGGAGTAAAGACAATTCCGGTGACCATGGCAACGCAATCACTGGTTATTTGCGGTGATCCCCTTTGATGGTGGTATGCATTGCAACAGCTATAAGGCAGAGCCTTTGTTCGGTGACAATCGCTCTGTACAAAACCCAGCACAATACTGGCCACCGCGCAAGGGGACCGTCGGGAACGTGAAGAGAAAATTTCAGTGGCATTGTGTATTTAGTTTTTACAAACTTGCGTTTGGTCAAAGGGCAAACAACACACTCTAGACATTTTTTAAAAACTGTTTCGTGGATGTTTCACCAACAGTGTGCTTCCCTATAAAAACACGAATACTAACATTTCTTTTATTTCTGTTTTTTTCTTACGGCTTACGGTGTATAATTCGATACATTTCATAAAGATTCAAGAAAGACACCAATGTAAAATTAAAAATAACTGTTACAAAATTAGCAATACTCTTGCTGACTAAACAGCCGAGGCTAAACGAAACAAATAAAAGAAATCTGTCAAAAAAAGTATACGTGTATCAAGTATGCTCTCTCCTTCCTAAGCTCCTTGAAGTTCCTAAAGTACCTCATTATTTGCCTTGGCAAATGTCTTCCTTATTGGATGACAAACTTCCGCCATAAGTTCCTATTTGTTTTGTAACTTTCTCTATTTCCTAACTTCTACATGTACTCACAGATGTCCAATCGCCTGCACGATATGGGCAACTTCAAGAGAAAGTTTTGACGCTATAAATTTAAAACATGCCAACATTTCCTTTATGAAAATGATTAAAATGGGGAAATATATACAAGATAAGAAAACTAAAAATCTATACTTTTCATTATTTTCAAGCTTGTATGCAGGCATATAAACAATTTCCAAAGCCGGGTACAGTATGAATCAGGTGAATATGGATGTTTTTTACAGTGAAAAATGAGCAGGCATAGGGGATATTTTTAAACACATCTTTCAAGGCACTGTCTTTCAGGGGACCAAAATATCAATTATAAGCCAGATGCATTTATATTCCAAGAAATACTCCTATCTATATGATGCATCTTTTATTACTACCAATACTTACATTACAGTACTGCTTAGTTTGAACTTACTGGGAAAAAAAACTTGAATATAATTCAAAGTACAGTATTGGTACCTTCCAAGTACGACACCCCACTTAGCATGAAGAATAATTGGCTGTGAAAAACAGATTCACATGTAAAATTTTCATATAAAAAATATAAAATTTCTATAAAATGCAAACGCTACAAATGATTGTCTAAACATAGAAAAATAGTGCTACCTTTCTTCCTAGTGGTGTAAAAGTGATTTTGGTAGAACATTTCTGCAGCCCTGCATTCCTATTTACAATAAGCAGTTAATTCTAAACTATTTTCAATAACTCACTAACAAGCATGAATACGGGGTTATACGAATGCTATTTCGCGGTTCCTCAAAGGGCGATATTAGGCATAAACAGTGCAGTACTCAAATTTGTTACAGGTGTTCCTGCCTCTTATAAATCTCACTATACAAGTCTGACTACATTATAAACCTACAACTTACTCTAAACGGTAAAATCTCTTTCGTTACATTGATAACAAATATAATGTATCTAAAAGTAAGTATCTAAAATGTACATTATTCAAAAGTAGGGATTTTTTTAACCATACATCAATGAATATTCTTTTGCATACTCAATCATGGAACCCTAACAAGAGGCAACAGGCATTTTTTACCCATTTCTACTTGTTGCCCATGGACATTGTTGTTTTTTTAAAATGCTCCCATTCAAAGTTTGAAGTGGATGACATACAACCACACTGTGCTACAGACAGAATTCAAGGTGCCACTTCCTCAGTGAACAATGAAAATATGGAGATATTTATCTGTTGTGCTAGAAGTCCAGGTTCTTTGGTTTTTTTGGGGGGGTATTGCATGAACACAAAATAAACTCTCAACCTCTTTTGATTGGGCAGAGTGCCTGTTGGTTTAGAGAGGGCAGAGAAGATCTCAGAAGTTTGAGGTAAAAAGGGAGTAAATGCCTCCGAACATTATTAAACATGATTTAACATAATTCTATTCCCAATGTATTCTGCTGAGCAAAACGTTCATTGGTATCAATTTCAAAAAAAAATTACCACCTCACCGTTAATAGTCAATCACTGGTAACATTGCCTGGGTCATCCTCCTGGCTTTCAGATGTGTAAAGTTAACATTTTAGAGAGGTTTATGAAAAAATGGGCACATGGGTATAGTCTGCTTGAACCACAGAGTTTGCAAAAATGTTACTTATTGTGCCGTTCCGGTTTTTCTGTTAATTAGAGATTATTAATTTTCAAGTTCCTGTCACATCTGACATATGATTTTGTAAGTTCAGAACACAATTTCTAATTTCCAAGAGTTATGAATGAATGCAAATTACCTGCCAAACAAATAGAAATAGTTTGAAATCAATTCCAGCGATATTACCATTACAATTACAGAGGTCAGGAGTAACACGGACACTAAAATGTTACACTTTTGGACCCTGAATTTATAGAATGACCCATTCATGGAATTATCACAGGTTAACATGGGCATGCCCTATATGTGATGAACAACTGATCTGGTGAGAAGTAATGTGCCCTGACCAGACAAACTTTCAAAACGAATTTGAATGGTGGAAAGCCATTGGACATTCACACACACCTGTCAGACCTTTCTATTACAAAACTTAAGTGACTTGAGCCAAACTGCCGCAACATGCATCATCAATTATCTTCTGAACTGTTTGACACAGCCACCATGTTGTAGCAATATTCGTTTGCGCTGCATTGTGGATACTTTCCAAAGTAACTGGACCATGCCCAAGTAAACAGGAGAAGTCACTTGAGCGTCACATCGGACACCGTTGCATGAGTGAGCACGGGGGAAGTAATCAAATGCACTGTTATTAAAATAAATTGTTCAGCTACGATGTACTTTACAAGCAAGTGGGGGTTATCTCGTACAGCTCAGCTTGACAACACATGATCATGCACACACAGGTCTCTGTAGGCAATTTGTTGGCTTGGCCCTAAAATAAAATAATGATCTCTCCGAAGAGGGGGTTTTGGGGATATTGCTATTACTTGATAGCATGTAGGATGACACAAACACAGGCAAAAGACATATTTTGAAATTGTTTACAAGCAGTAACCTCGTCACAAAATGGTGTGTATTCTGTCTATAGATAAGGCACCTTGTTGAATTGCATTCCTTCATCCCTCCCTCCATTAATTAATTCATTCTGTCATTCATCCTTCCAAAGGCCCCGCCCCCAAGTAGGCTAATCTCAGCCAGCTGTGACACTGTTCAGACGGCTTGTGGTTACATAAAAAGGAATGAAAATCCCCCTGTAGACAGCGAGTCACAACACCGTCAGTGCCATACAGCTGCAACCCATCCAGGTTTACTTGTAAACAAGATAGAGCTTGCAGAATCCATTTGCAGCGTAGGGAAGAAACGTGCATAAACCTATGGCAGGGTGCAGGGAGGGGTGTGTTCGCTTGACCATTGCCGCCCAGTCCGAGGGACTGAGGAAGTCAAACCCCCCTCAAAACTAAGTGGTATGGACTGACAAAGTCATAAGGGATGAGGTAGGTGTGGTTCAACATGGGGTCAGGAGTTCAGTTTATGTAAATCGTGTTTGATGCTTCAAACCCAGTCCCTCACTCCAAGGTGCTCAACCACTGGAAGAGTTAGTAAGCTGCGCTTAGCAAAGCATCATTTGAAGGTTGTATATATATGCCCCAAATTCTTCTGACATTGAATATTGGGTGCCAGATTAGATGAAGATCTATGCTTTCATATACATCTGCTGAACCTAAAGAGTCATCTATTATGGACTGGCAGAAGACTAAGAGACACCCAAATACTTGCTGGTAATAAACGTGAACTATTTGTTCTGACGACAGACTGAGCACGCAGTCCGAAACACTGAGTAATACTCCCGGTTCTTTTTTCTCATGGTGCTACCGCAAGCCTTTCCACCTATTGCTGTCTTTCCCCATGAATAGCCTGAAATTCCATATTACGGATTGCAAAAGGATTTTCCAAAGTCAGACAAAGTAAAGCCTACTGCCCCTACAGGCAGCATGGCAGTCACCTTGGGGAAAGTTGGAGTTGAGACTAAATTTGTACATGTAAGTGGCAACATGCATTACAAGAAATTAGACTGGTACAAACAATAATCAGTCCATCAACCCTTCAGAAAGCCAACAGGAACTGCATAATGTCAAATTTGTCCGTACTAAGAACAACTTTGGGTTTACAAAATATAACTGAATTACTCTGTTAATCAGTTACATAACTCACAGGATTACACATGCATTTTTGTTTATCAAGTCCATGAACAATTACTGAACCCTTATGAATGACAAAAAGGAACTGCGATGTTTCATGGGCTGGGCACTTTTAGGTCGAGACTCACAAACCACTGGCAACTGTTGCACTCTCTCCATTAGCCTGGGAAGACCCTTCATCCTTGGCCAGCCTATCAGATTCCACCTTCGGCTCTGCCTTCGCCGGTGGGCCAGGCTGAGGGGTAACCGCCCTGGGAGGCTCATACATGTACACGGGGTTGGCAAAGAAATCGGTGGGGTTGTGATTGTCGGACGTCGTGCCCAAGACATCCAGGTCGTTCAGGGCCCGGCTGCTGGTCACGCGGAAATCCCCCGCCACACTCCCATCCCCACCGCTGCCTCGATTCTTCATGAAGCTGGCACAACAGAAGAAAAGTGGCTGACACTGAATATGTCACTTGGTGTTGGATTGAAAGAAATATTTGCGAAAAAAATGACAAGAAAGAATCATAATCTGAACAACTGAAAAAAACCCCAAAACTAATTTTTCCCGGCTTGCAGATTCAAACAGTAAACCAAGTCAATTTCTTGAGTTAACCAACAGGAACTCAGGTCATTATTCCCTCCATCCCCCCCCAAAAAAAACATTGACTCTGCTTTTTAACACACGCACATTTAAGATACATGTATTACTCAGGACTAAAATATCTTCCCATCTGTTTCCAGTCAGTCGGGAACTCTCTACCCATTGCCAGCAAATACATGTGAAAACATACCCTTGGTGTGGGGTCCGGGCCCAGGCTTACATTGTTACCAATGCTCTGGTTGTAAATTTCAAGCGAGAAGTGCCTGTCTAAATTGTTTGTGGTGGCCTGACCAGTCACTGTATACATTATGTTTTCAAATGATTATGCACAGTGTGAGGTGTCAGATTTCAATCATCATACACTCTTCATGAAAACGGTTTTACAAATTAACGCATACTGCTTTTTGACATGTTGGAGGCCAATCTGTGGAAGGCCTCTTCGTCAAGGACTCTCTCTCTGAAATTGTCGGCTGTAATTACACTGGATTAATTTGATGATGTCAATGGTACAAGTCGCCCAACCACTGACACAGGCATTTCCTCTGGTCTCTGATTCCAAAGCACATATAACAAATACACTTGCCAAAAACTGGTGTTTTGTTTTCTTAAAAGTTTGAAACAGCAGGTTTTTTTGAGAAATTTCTGTGGTTCAAATTTGTGGTCAAAGTTTGAATTTGTCAGAATACTGGTTTTCAAATTAAGACAGGAATGAGGCACGCCACAGGAAATCTTTTCCCTGATCACATCAAGCTAATTTATGTGCTGGGATTCGATAGTTTGATGTACCAAGTACTGGCAATAATTCAAGGGGTCCATGATGTAAATTGTACATGGAAGCATGTCCCGTGCAACTGTCTGCTCTTGTTAGATGTAAAACAAGTACTTGACATTGAAATGATAGCATGACAAAGTATGATGAAGTTCCCAGACACTCCAGGCGGTGTGTTGATTCAGTCATAATGATACAGGAGAGAGGCCACCTGACGCGCAGCGTGTTAGTGCACAGGGTGCAATGTAGTTCCTCACTGAGTATTACAACAGTCATCTCATTTTACTTGCTGTCATTGGAAACTGCACGTTTAAAAACATGGAAAAATTCCATGTTTTCCTGACAAATGAGAGAGCTGTGGCTCTGGTGTCATCACAGGAAAACTCTGTTCATTTGGGGATTTTAGGCTATAAATTGTCAACTCAAAATTTGTTGGTTGAAATACTGATAAGACTTTGCTCACTGGCTGAGGCAACTGGCTTAATAAGGTAAACAAAAATTACAACAAAGTATCCGAAATTCTTGTAATTTTTTGTGCAGAAATAGCTGTGACATCACAAAATATGAAAAGTTGCATTAGCATTACAATAAGAAAGGCATTAACCCTAACCCTCCTGAATCCTTCACCTGTTGGAGGATTGAGGAGGGTTAGGGTTAAAGTGTTCTGAAATTACTGGATTTGATTATTTCTTACTCAAAGTACCATGCAGTGGTCTCCCATAGATCTCAGATGTAAAAATGAGACACAAACGACAAGACAGGTAACAAAACACATTCAAAATGTACTACAACTCTTGGAGGCCTACTTTCACTGAAGATTTTAAACTGCCAAGTGCAGGTGCTGATTTCAAAGACTAGTACCGAGTTCAGGTTATTCAGCAACAGATCCAGGAATTTTCCCCTTTTTCCTTGTCAGAGCAGACATGGGGGGGGTTCTCCCCCAATCTGCACCTGTTATTCGACACAGAAATCCCAGATACCTTAGATACTCAGTTGTGAACTTTGGAACTCAAAGCATGTAGTGTGTTATAATTCCGAGACTGACTTGTTGGATATAGATCTTCCATCAAATAGGCTCTTGCCAAGTAATTCATGCGATTGCACATTAACATAGCACGGTGGTAGACAACATAGAGGTTTTTCCTCCTGGTAGGTTCAATTACAAAATTGGGCCGTGTAGACGATATGGTATTGAATTACTCCTGAGATTTGCATTAAGTTGATGATTCTGGTGTCATGTGGGCACAGACGGATGGTATAACATGAATCATCAACAACTGTTGCGACAGCAACCATGATCCAGAAGTCAAAACAATAAAAAGGGATATTGAACAGTATTCCCTGAATAGTTTGGGGGTAATTTATGAAGAAGAAAAGGAAGTGGAGACTAATTAAAGACAAATGCCTCCAAATGAAAAACAATGGCATTTCACTTCTATGTCCTGTGACATAAAAAAAGGAGAAAAATGAAAGGAACAAAACCTGAAGTGGCACAGGGGTAAGAACACTTGTACAAATGTGTAAAATCTGTTGTAAAAATTCACAAATGTATCTGCAAGAAAGAGTTCTAAAACAAAGTCAGTGAATATATGCACACCGTTTTTCTGAGTGGAGTACGACATATTGATGCATGTTAACTTACGATAGACCTCCTTGGCGACGCCGGTACAAGATGTAAAGCATGACGGCCACTACAGCAATGGTGACAATGACAATGATGACAACGGCCACAGGAACAGCTGCACTGACATCTAGATAGAAACAGGGGACAATTGTCACAATGTGCCTCACACTATCTGCCTTTTCAAAAATCTGATCAAGTTCAAAAAGTCGCTTCAACTTTGCAACAGCATCTGATATCATATGCATTTCATAAAGCCTTCGAGCATCACGTCATTTGCTGCAATTTTATTATGTTGTCACTAGTTCATGCGTATGTGTTCTGCAAGGTATAGTTCTCAGTATTCTGAGCAGCTTGAATGATGGAACATTTCCAGCAATTAATTATTAAATGGACACACCTGCGGTCTGTTTGGCATCTTTATATGTTTTCAACAGTCACAGTTTACAGTGAAGTGAATCCTATTACCGTTAACGAGAGCCTGTATCATTTTCCTCAATGATGCAATTTAGCAAGCATTCTATTCTTCACTCTGTCTGAGAGTTGAAAGAAAAAAATCACAAGCTTGCTTCGGAGTTGCTCTCCAACCATGACTTCCTGCTTTTTCTACAACCTCATATTCTTCTACAGTGTCTGCGAACTATTCGACATATCTACCGGGTTGGATGCATTGAAAAGTGCACTTTTTACACCATGAAAAATTGTCCATTCTTTCCAAGTAAACTGTGGGCGCTGTTGCTGTGATGTCATCCAGGGTTTAGTGCATATTTTTTTTCTATTCAAACTGTGAATTCAAAATTTACTTACAGGAAATATTTCTGAAACAACGAATCACTTAAGAAAGAAAATCCGGGCTGGCAAAATCTTTTTAAAAATGCAGGATTTTGTGCATAAACCAATGTAACAATGAGGTTTATTCCTGGGATGACACAGTGTCTCATGACTATGGAAATACTCATTAGGTTAACTGAGACACAAAAAGGTGCATTTTGGAGGTATGTATTAAAAAAAATTCCACTGCTGCTACCCTTTGACCACTTGACTGCCAATGGGCTACAACTGGCTAATTCAAGTGAAATGGCAGTGGGTACGGTACTCAGTGACTGTTGAATCTGATGTTGGGTAGATGACAATTTTAATGTTGGCTTTTGCAATTTACCAATGTAACTTAATAAGCCCTGTGTACTGATGTTCCGGAGCTTGGAGACGTGAGGCAAATGAACAACCATGGAACACCAATGTACATCAGGAAATTGAATACCTTGGTGTTTCTGCTTCTCTCTTTTGGAGGAGTTCCCACCGCCCGACAGGCAATCAGAGAAGCACTTCTTGTCAATGTGGAAATCCATGCCCAAGATATTCATCTGATTTGCCTTGCCAACAAAATGAATATAGCTGTCAAGGAGGAGCTTGGAATGGGCCTTGCTCAGAGCCAACATGTCTGCCTGATAGTAAACACTGCCGTTGAGAAGCTTCTCGTCTGTTGAAAATGAAAGAAGAGTAGAAGTGGTTTGTAAATATCTGGATGTGACTTTATTGACTCAAAAAACGTCTCCAGTGCTTTCTTTTCAATCCCTACAGGTCACTATGGTTTACATCAAGGATATGGGTAAAAATCACAAACCAAGGTCAAATAACAGACCTGGTCAGAATAAGACCTACATATAAGTCAAGCTATAGACCTTGGTCAAACTACAGACCCTGGCCAAACTATAGACCCCAGTCAAAAATCAACTCTAGTCAAGCTATAGACCCTAATCAAGCTATGTACAGTCCAACATTAACAAATTCAAACTAACTATATTTCAACTGTGTAGCGTGGAATCAATTTGCTCTTCTAAACCAAAGTTGGTGTCACAAAATCACAAAGAAAACTTGCCAACATGTGAGAAATTGCCAAATGCAGTCTTTATGATTAACATCACAGCAATGTACCGTATGAGTTTGGAAAATCTGTTGTATCTAAATCAAATCAAATTAGTAACTCAACTTTCATTCATTTTTGTACTACATTGTGTGGCGGCTCCAATAAGAATGCTTCACTTCCAACCCATATTAATGTAATTATTTATACAGATCTCCAAACAAGGCTTAAAGTCTTACAAGATCGTAAACACATCTTACATATTACAAACCTTGTCAAAGACTTTCTTGAGGCAAAAGACGGGTACCTGCAATAATGGCGAAACTACGTACATCTTTCACATGCTGGTTTGACTTGGTATGGAATGTGATCTAATTATGTAACACAGTATAATGGACTTGTTTTTTTTGGGGGGGAGGGGCAGAAAAGTTACAGTAGCCTGTCAAAATTCCATCTAAGTGACTCCAGACAGTGCCAGATTGAGAGGTTGTTATTGAGAGCTGTTTGTTTGAGCATCAAGGGAAAGCTCATCTCCCGATCTTTGCCCATGCTTTCCCCCGAGCACTGAACTTGCAGCCCCACTTTTGTGTCAGAGTACAAAGGATTTGCCATTGGAATGACACACGTCTTGCTTTAGGAAGGTCCTACCCTCACAAATGTCTCTAGGGCAAAGAGAAAGTAAAGTCAATGAATTTATTTGTTTTAACAAACAATTCCATGAAAATAAACAGAGCATGCACTATAAACACTACCCGTACATGTATGGAAAGCATGATATTATGCACTGCAATTCAGTATAAGGATACCCATAAACATGTAGGTGAAATGCTTGAACAAAAGTTGTGGATGAGGCCACAGAATGAAGCCAAAAAAAAGGGGAAAAAAAGTAACAAAATAAAAACAAACAAACAATATAAATAAAACAAAATTACAGTACTAAAATATTGAAGGTGTAGGAGAATAATGCCCCCAGAAACTGGGGGCATTTCTCCAGAGGTGCGGGGAGACAAGCAGTTCAGTACAGTGTGGGTTGTAAAATCAGTAGCCAGACATGTCTTTCAATGCAATTGTTGGCCACATTTTGGATTCAGGAACAAAGCCTGAATTGAGACCCCTTGATCTGTTTTTGATTGTCTGGTACATATTTGAGACATTTGGAAATTTGGGTCACTTAAAGCATACGATAAAGAATAATATACTTTGCAAGAAAAAAGAAAGACAAGAAAATTGTATAAAGAAAACCTTTGTTTGAGATCTTTATGTTTAAAATCTTTATGTTTCTACATTATGTTTAAATTTTTTACGTAAAGAAAATGAAATAGAAAGATGTTTTGTGGTGACTAGAACTGATTTGACACAGAATGTCGAGTTTGTTCACTGCTTCTCTGAGCAGATATTTGTTAACTGTCCATGGAGCCGAGAAAGTCTGAGAAAATATTTTGTGAGCACGACGAGCAGTGGTTTACAATGTTGCAATGTCCAAAGTGTTAAGCAAGAAGACATTCTTCGAACTGGTTATCAATTAGAACAGAAGCCAATGCCAATTTGTTATCACTGATGTGATACTAATTTTCCTCTTTTATGCAGCCAGATTTTATTCCTATTTCTCCCTCTTGTTTCCACCGTTGTGGTTTTTTTCTGATTGTTTGATTCTGCTCTGTAACAAATCTCCCACTCAGTGCATCTCAACTTGTCTTGATGATATGATCTGCCAGTGTTTCCCACAATAATCATATGAAACTCATCCCTCCTTGGCCAACTCTTTCTTCTACCCAGATTGCATTTAGCTGTCACAGCCTTCGGATGCACCCACCTATGAGTGGTTCACTCTGACCACTTTCGTGTGCTTTGGATGCACTGATTTACATACATGGGTTCATTTTAATTAAGCAATGTACATCGTGGTACATGCATAATACAAATGAAAAATTGTATTTTAGGTGGTAAAACATTTTCAAATTGACATATTATTTTTATGTTTATCGGTTACCACCTTTTTTGTTTCAAAGCCTGCTTAGGGAAACGGCCTGGTCAGCATCTCTGCATTGTATTTTCCTTCCCTGACTATTCACAGTCTTAACAGGGAGGCTCTGGGTTGGACTCTGAACCGCTGAATATCAACGGATTACTGGTTACTGCTAGATGTTGGACTGGAGTCAGTTGCTGTTGCTGCGTCGGTGTATTTCTCTCTTTGATGAGGCCAATTTACCAGGTCTCCATGGAAACGCAAAGAGACATAGGGCCTGTTTGTTTCACATGGATCTGGATCGTGGTCAGTGACCCTTTCTTAGATGACTCGGAGGAGAGAACCGAGAGCAGTTGGAGAAGGCAACGAGTAACATCTGACCATGACGGATGGTCAATTGATGGCCACCGGTCCAGTCCAACTTGACACGAATATCAGAGGAGAGAACCAAGAGCAGCTGAAAAAGTCAACTATATGTAGCAACATCTAGCGAAGACTGATGAATAATTAATGACCAACGGTCCGGTAAAAGGTAGTTATTTAACCCGACCCACTTAATAGGCCTACCAGCCATTGGAGGTACACTGCAACTTCATAAATGTATTCTAATGGCCGGTGCTTCCCCCCCCCCACTTTTAAACCGTCTGCCGCCGTTGAAGAATACTTGAGGTGAAGAACTCACCAGACTGGTTTGGACTACGTGGAATCCAAAAGAAAGTGCACTGATATCAAGAGTTGGTCATGAATGGAAGTAAGAAGTCACCCATAAAAAAAATACGCAAGAGGCAGGGGGAAGGGGTGACATTGTGCTCACCTTGTGTATGGGGAGAGTCCAAGGAAATGTGTACATACACAGCAATCAATTTCTTTTTAATAAATAACCCTGCACTTTTATCTACATGTACATGCACTATGTGCATAGATACTTTGTGGAGGGTCTTGAATACATGTAGATGATATATACAAACTCAAGTACCGACCTGCTCAAAAAGCAGGTAGAATAAAAAATTTCAGAGTGTTTCAAAATTGTATTTATACTTTGTTCATGAACATGGTAACGATTTAGCCTGTATTGGTATACGTAAATCATTCCAAATAAAATAAATGACCTGTGACTAATGGCAGTAAATCCTTCAGTATGCTCACCTTTGAGGTAGTTCTCGTTGAAACTACACTTGCACTCTGCACTGACCCCAGCAACAATCTGCCTCCTCAGGTCATCGGTGAACCGTGGGTTGGTGACCCATACTTCGTAGGCTGCATCCAGAATGTGCATCTGTATCGTCTGTTTGAAGGCCCTCCTCGGGCAGCGGTTGGTCTCGCCGGGAGTGCGGGCCGAGAGGGTGAAGGCCGATGGGTCTTGGGTGTTGCAGCATGCACAGCGCGATATGGAGGGTGCAGAAATGTCCGCCACCGCACTGCACAAAGAATTTCAATGATGTCAAGTTTTACTTGAAAAAAAAAAAGGAAGTCTAATTTCCTGGACATAAAGTCATACAAAAATACATGTAAGCTAAAAAGTAGCTGTGTTTACTGAGCGTTAAGAATCCATCGCACAGAAATGTAAATTTTCGTCCCATTAGCTCACCGGTACTTCCCTTATTCAGCTGCTATGTCTTCTAAAGAACACGGAAGACTAAAAGTCTCATTATCACCTTGGAATTTCTTTCATTCATTGTGCCCCCTTTTATATTTTCGTATGGATGTTTATATTGATGTTTTCATAAGATGTTACATTTTAGTTTATTTTGCACTTTTTATAAGTTATTTTGTCCGCTGTTTTGTTTTTAGTATTTGTTGTGTTAATGACATTTGTTTTCATTTTTTTTATAAAGTCTTAATTTCAATTGATGTCCATGTTATGCAAAATAGGGCTCATATGGAAAGAAGTTGTATGACTGATATAATTACCTTCCATAAATTAAACAACAAATAAAAACATCCAACGGACCTGAAGTTTCTGGCGTAGATGCTGGCAAAGCCCAGAATGGAACTCAGCTCCGATGAAGACCCTTCAGTGACGTTGGTGAATACTACCGCGTCCACCAGGCCTGCGCTCGTCACTGGGGTGCCCTGGATGAACTGACTGTCAGAGTTGCGATAGATGCTGACAGCGCCCTCACCCGGCCTGATAACAGCCTCTTCCGACTGTGGGAAGAGTGCGTCCACGGGCGGGCTGACGCTGCCAGATCCGATTACAAAAATGCCGTCGGATGGGATGACTCGCCGAGTGAGTGGGAGGGAGTAGTAATAGACTGGGCCCGTTTTGGACGAGGAAGACAGCACCAAAGTGAAAGCATCCAAGTGGGCACCAGGAGGTCCCCTCAGCTCCACATACTCCCCTGACTCTGCTCCTCCGTTCCGGGGACTGACCTCGCTGATGATGACATTGCTGGGTGTTGAGGCGCTGGTGCCCACCAGACACCGGTTCTCCTGGCCAGGAGTGGGCGTGGTCAGGGCAAACGCCACGCTGGCCAGCGGCACGCAGCAAGCACAGCGACTGATGCTCGCATCTCCCCGGCCGAAGTCGGGACTGACTTGGACCTGGGGCTGTCCCGGGGTCAACAGATCCAGGACAGCCATGCTGGAGGGGTTCTCGACTCCGTACACCACGGCATCAAGCAGGACAGCCGCTGAGGTCTGATCGTTATCTTTATAAAGGGCTACAGCGCTGGAGACATCACTGTGCAAGAAGTCACTGGTGCTAATTTCCAGATCAACATTCCACTCTGCACTGGGCTTGCCGTACACAAAGTAACCATTCCTGTCAGAACAGAACCAATGGTAAACCCCTTGAAACACACTGGTCGGATTGCAAAATACAAGAAAAAAAAAATGTGCCTGAGGTTGTGCCAAGACACTACAGTCGTGGGTACGACAAATGTGTTGAACGACAGTTATGACGGGGACAAGTTTGTGACCCCTCCCCTCAATGTGAGGCCAGCTAAGGCACTATACAGTACCGAAGCATGACGTCCCTGTGAACCAAGATGTACATGTATTGTGCAAATGAATGGAGTACACGTGTTGGTTCGTGTACTGGTTCTCGTGCTACATGTAAATCTCTTTTACGCACATAATTGTGCATGTGACATACATGTGTATCTACTGCACTCTTTTACATTCACAATTTCAGGTTTTGACAAAAAGAGACATCCCCTTTTGCTCTCCCAATCTTGTCCATAAAACACAACACAGAATATGATATTCAAATACCTGGGGGCCAATTTCACAGAGCTGCTTAAGCACAAAATTTAAGCATTAAAAAACCTTGCTTAAAAAAACAAAGGTTACCAGTTCAAACTTTATCTGATTGTCATGCTAACCAAAAGACTGCTAAATACCATTCCAAAACAGTATACCTCACATGGAGTTTTAGCTGGTAACCTGACTTATCAAGCAAGGTTTTTTGTGCTTAAGCAGCTCTATGAAATTGGCTCCAGGCCACATGCTCTACTCAGACTTTGGTCAGTTTGTTTCCAATTGTTCCCCAAATCACAAACTGTCCCTTGAGATTTTGCCCACAGGCCGAGTGGTTGTGTCATGTCAATGGTAACGTTTTTGCTTGGAGTTGCTGATCCATATTACAACGGGTAAATTGTTTCCTGTACACAGCACGCTATCAGTACACAGCTTCAACTTCAAAGCCTTTGATGTTGGAAATGTCAGCCTGACCACAATAGAGGTTATGCATAAATACGTCCTAAGAGGGAAACAGCTTTGTATCACAGAGAGGCTTGAGTAAACCTTTCATGCATTTGTTGTTAACTAGACTAAAATAACCAAACAGCCTCTGAGACGCCATGGAGACGCCATGAACACTGAACCTCTATGTATCTAAACACTAATATGAAATTTTGTACTGAAAAATGATAATTTAGAATTGTTGAAGTAAGATGTGTTTTTTGGTGTCCTTGATCTGGTAAAAAATCTTACCCATTGGTTGATTTGCCATTCAGAGATTGGACAGAATATGTTCTTACACCTGACCCTCCCGAGTCATAGAGTTTCACTGATAATGAATCCAAGAGGGTGGAGCCATGCCCACCATCATACAGCTCAACAAACCCAACCGAGTCACCGTCGAGTTTGATCTCGTTGATGATGACTGGGTTGCCGGTGCAGATGTTAGGTTGACCTGTTGAATAAAATATGAGATTGCAAGTTTGTCTTACCTGTCCCTGGCGATGTTACCAACTTTAAAGTGATCTTTTTAAAAAATAAAACAGTTATGGTGTTTGGGCATAAAGTCTCCATGAAAGGTCTGGTTGTGAAAAGAGGGTCACAGAGTCAATTACAAGTCCATGTAAGTCCATCACAAACCATCCAGTCAAACACCAAATTGAAAGCTGTTCAAATGATCAGTTGACGATAGTATTCTCTAGTAATTGTTCATCTTCCTACTTGTGACTGGTCTCATGTCGTAGACTCATCTTCATGCAGGCTGTAAAGGGTATAATGACCATGAATGTAAAACAAATCACGAAGGGCTGCACCAAATAATTTCAAAAATGTTGGCTAAAACTGTTACCTGGCGTTGGTTGCGACACCGTGAAGGAGGAGAGCGTCCTGGAGTTGTTACTCAGACAACGCGAGAGAGACTCGTCTCTGTCCGAGTAGGCTGAGTATTCGATGACCGATCTCTGACCGGGTGCTAGCTTGTCCAACAGAGTCTTGTCGTCGGTAAGGGAGGCCTCGGTGTGGTAGACGATCACGTCCACCATGTTCAGCGGGGTTGCGATGGTTCCACGGGGGAAGAGCCGTGCCTGGGTGTGGTAGAGAACCACAGCATCAGGCCCATTTTGTATGAAGTCATCTGGAACCAAGATGTCGGGGGTCGGCTTGACACTCGATGTTCCAATAACAAAGAAGCCATTCAAGTTGGTCCTATCAGCAAAACAAATGAACTTACATGCATCACATTTACAGATCTGCAAACAGCTGACTGAAATTAGGATGACAAATATTACAAAGATGACAATGGAACAATTAAATTGCATAAGCCACTACTCAATGAAGCATACTTTAACTAAACAACACAGCAAAAGTCAATGTAGTGTATTTATTAGAAAACTTGTGTTCTCATACCTGAGTTTTCATCCTGCATGTTATCAGCAAGGAACTGTCAAAATGACTTTCTGTTGGGACATTTTTTCATTTTTGAATTTCTAAACACAGTAACACTACTTGTGAAAAATATTAAAAAGCAAGAAATCATCTTTTACCATCTGCCAACAGCCATGTAGTTGATGTCAAGTGAAAATGGCTCAAAAATACTGTAAAAATATAATCTGAAAGATTCCAGTACCAACCTTAGTTATAACACAGAATTGAATCCTTTCTTATGTTTAACATCCCCCCATCGCCATCCAATCTAGGGACTGCATTTGAAGGTGAATGCTGATTTATTTATTTTATTTGTTAGCCACGCTGTCCATTATACAGGTACCTTGAAACAGAAAACTCATTGGCCCTGCAAAAAAATACATTACATTTATCCGGAAAAAAATCTCACCATGAAAATGAAAACGACACGGTGAAATAAAGACACTGCCTGGACTGATTAAGGGGGAGGAGTTTAATATCCTGTTCGTGACATATCTGTCAATGTTTACTGCTTCGACACACGAACACTGCTGTAGGCATCAAACGTCAATTACACTTAATAGCGACCCTGCCTGATGGAAAACTCTACAGGCGACCAACTGAGGAAAATTGCTTCATTTATTTTTTTATACAGGGTACATCTACATCTATTTTAATCTACCACAAAGACAGTCCACACGTAGGCAAAACTGATTTTCAAAAAGTGCAATGTTTGATCAATGTGCTCATCTGCTTGCTTCAATTTTCCATGTCTTGATTTTTTCACACATTAACCCTAACTGTCCTCAATCCTTCACCTGAGGATTGAGGACTGTTAGGGTTAAACTGAGTAAAACCGAGGCACACGCAATTTGGGAATAAACACCACCCCCCCCAAAAAAGGGAAAAATTGAGTCAAAAATTACAAGCAAATTCCTAATAAAGACAGAACTCTGAAAAAGGTAAAAATAAGTAATGTACGTAAATTTCCTTGAAGTTTTCTCTCAAGATACAAAATACAGATTGTAAAAGAAAGACCTTACAACCGTACTTCAGAACACATCCTGCTGTTTAAAGGTTTCATGTGAATAAAACAAACAGTGGGCTGACTGCTATTCAGATGAGGTCTTCAAGTGAAGAGGACATGTTTCACGGAAGACGTCAAGGAAAGAAATACTTGGACAAAATTGAATGACGTACATTTACTGCCTGTCACGACACACAAGCAAACAGTTCAGTTGTTCATTTACTCAGTGGGTACTTGGAAAAAGGATGTTGCTGTTCTTGTGAGACACTGGGAAGCTTTTTTTTTTTCTTCCGTGCTCCGAGGAAATATAATTTAAGCTTGCGGGCACGTTTGGCAAACTTTGTTAATGGTCTGCGCATGCCGGGAGAAGCCCAACGTGTCAACATAGAGGGGTCGAATCTACACCCAAGGGTCCAATTATTCAATGCGTTTCAATCTTACAATATGAGTTACAATGGCCAGAGCCACTTTTGAGATAAAGGCCTTTATGATGAATCTCCCACACAGTAAATCACAGGGAAATCTCGACATTTTTCATCCGCATAATGTCCATATTCATCAGGATGCTAAACAGAGTGATCAATCGAAACAGAAAGCTCAGTTTCCCCTTTCTAATGCAAACTCAAACTGAATTACAAAAAAATAACCTTAAGACTTATTTTGTTGGGATGTGGTCACAACTACCGGTACATATACCTCTCTTTTATGAGATTTATTGATTCAAGTTATTAAAAATACACAAAAAGGGAGCAAAAGCATAAATAGGAGGAACTCCCACCTCTGGTTGCCACCTACATGTAGGTGATCGGAGGACATACCTTTGCATTTCATTGACAGATACAGACAGGTGTCATTCGGAATGTTATAGGAAAAGTGCCTTACCTTCTTTTGTCAGAAAAATAATCAAAAATTTATTTTTTACATTGTTTGGACATTACGCCCTGGTCTTTTCTACTAGTGTGAGTTCAACCCAATTCAAGTTTTATTCAGTAATCACTTTGTTAATGATTTTATAGCTATGTTCTTTTCAATGTTCTGAACGTATTGTGAATGATATTGTTGTATCTTTGTGTCATATTTATAATAATTTTATCCTATTTTAATGTTATATTACCATGTCAAACCTTGTAAATTTAATTGTAATTCAGCCTCTTGGCTGCAAAGATTGAATATACATAGCCTTAAACCTTAAACCTAAACCTATGAGGTATTTCTTCTGGTTAAAGAAACTAACATTCAAAAGTGCCATATCAACAGATCACGTTCAGAACAAGGTTGTGTCCAAATCAACTGGCTGCGGCTAGACGAAACACATGTACATCCATGGACAGCCATTCCAGCTGCCAGCAAGTGGCTTCCATATGGACTCTTGTGTTAATTCAAGCTGCAGCCACGTCATTCAGACACGACTTGAGATCACTGGACAGTCTCAGGGCCCAAGTAATGAAGGGGGAAAAAAAAGAAGATCTGCCGGTGGCCGGGCAAAATATCTATATTGTGCAGAAGGATTATTCTCAACAATAAAAATGACAGAATGATTTCTTGATTAAATGGGTCACAGTGAGTGAGCGGTGACTTTGCAGTCAGATTTTGAGTCAGATTTTGGTGAGGTCAATGGGCACCACAAAATGATTTGACCCAATCTTTGGAGAAATAAAGGCCACCCACAATGACATGTCTAAATGACTCAAATTACCAATTTAATACTTCAGAAGGTGGAAATCATGGGGGGGGAAGCGATTAGCAAGAGAACCTTACACTGTGATGTAATTAGTAGGCTTGACCAAGGAATCCAGCTGGCTGTCTGTACTAGTATCCATCATGTACAGCCAAACAGTTGGCACCAACCGTCTGAGAACTTCATTATTTCTCCATTTAGACGGGAGTACAAAATGTCAATTTTAATAAAAAATTAATCTTTTTTCCTAATCTTTGGGGTTTGAAGTACAAGTAGTGACAGGGAACTAACATAGGTGACCTCTGTGAACATTCGCTTCAATTCATTATCTTTCTTTCAAAGTTAATCTCAATATTTTTCAAACTTAATCAATTTAATCTTTTATTTTCATCTAAATCTCCCCTCATGCATGTATGAATGTACACTTCTATTTCATAGGATTTTACTTAACTACAAAAGATGGGTTTTACAATGAGATTAGCCAATCCATTACATGGTCCTGTAGCAGAAAACTGACATTGCATTGCACTGTGTGTATTATGCAAATCCTGAAGATTATCCAAGTGCTTTCTGTGTTCTAGATTGCTACTGGTTGGAACTCAATTTCTGTTGAGATGTTTCTCTTCTAAGTTGGGCATTCAAACAAGAGGGAGATTTTCCAAAGAAATCAGTTACTACAAAAACACTACCAAAGTTTTAAATTTTCCAAGGCAAATTTCCTATCTGAGAGTTGAAGCAGAGCACTACTAGGTGTGAATACAACTGTTGAGGAGAAGATAGTGTGCTGTGCGTAAGGCCGTGCCTGGGTAATATCCATAGATATCACCAACCATCAGCTTTAATTAATGCCTCTGAAAACTTAATTGATCATATCTGGACCTCCCGTCCAGAAATGTATTCACGCAATGGTGTGTTAGCGTTGGCTGTAAGTGACCATTCATTAATTTATGCTGTACGTAAGGGTTTGAAGACTGACAAAGGACCGGCACGTAACATCAGAGCACGGTCGTATCGTAGCATTTACGAAAATGAGTTCACTCAAGATCTTGGAAAGGTACTTTGGTGTGATAGTGAAAGATACGATAGCGTTGACCCTGCATGGAGCAATTTTGAAGACATACTTATCCCCATATGTAACAAACATGCTCCGTTTAAACAGACTAAAATTCCAAACAAGACACCCAAATGCTTTAATGATAATTATCTTGTTCACAGGAGAAAGTTACAGCAGACTTAAGTTTGTGCTCAGAATACTAAATCGACCAATGATTGGGACGCCTATTGCGACTTGAGAAACAAGACCAACAATTTAGCCAAAAGAGCTGCTGACCACTTTGATGCATGTTTATACACCCAACAGGACACAGAACCACTTGAGAAGCTGTTTCAATTTGTGTTACTTCATGGGAGGTTTGTCGCCTGCTTTGCGAACTTGATGTCAACAAGGCTACTGGGCTTGATGGCATTAGCCCCTGACTATTATAGGTGGGCTACAGACAGTTTGCGGCACCATTGACCCACCATTGACCCACATCATGAACTTAAGCCTCTCCACTGGTTCTGTGCCCCTGGCATGGAAAAAGAGCAGAATAACTCCTGTATTTAAGACAGGTGACCGTCAAGATGTTAATAATTATAGGCCAATTTCAGTTATTCCTACTTGTATGAAAATCTTGGAGAAACTTGTACATGAACAGTTGCTAGGTTATATGGAAAAACATAACATTATAACTGATAATCAGTCAGGCTTTAGACCGATGCACTCCACCCAGACATGTCTCCTAAACGTTTCTGATTACTTACGGATAACATGAACTCGGGGTACTTTACTGGGGCAGTTTTTCTGAATCTTAAGAAAGTGTTCGATACTGTTCATAATGAACGTCTTCTTGGTAAACTTAAGAATATTGGAGTGCATGGACAGGATCTTGACTGGTTCTCATCCTACTTGCATGAACATCAACAGGTCACCAAAATAAGTGATAACTGTTCTTCACTAATTGGGGCGAATTATGGAGTACCTCAGGGGTCTATATTGGGACCTCTCGTTTTTACTTTGTACATAAATGACCTTTCTCATATTATATGACAAGATACAAAGATGCTTTTATATACTGATGACACAGCAATTTTTATTCACACTAAATCTATCGATATTATTAATAGAGAACTCAACAGTGTCATAGGGAAATGTTTACGTCTTCAGACAACTCATAATATCAACCAAACCAAAAGTATGCTGTTTGGTACTCGGGCCAAATTACGTCGTACCCAGGAAACTTAACAGATTACCATTAACAACATTACCAATGAAAACGTGACCCAATTTAAATACCTGGGCATCTGGCTTGATCCGGCTCTTACATGGAATACACATGTAGACAAGCTTGTTAAAAACGTGAACAAACATGTGGGGATCCTTCGTAGAGCCAAAAGTGTTCTTTCTCAGCATACTCTAAATTTGCTTTACTAAACTCGAGAAAATCCAAAACAACGCTGGAAGAATCATTTTGGGCATTCCTCGAAGATCTCCAACAGGTACTCTTTTATCCACTCTTGGATGGCAACCCCTCAATGAAAGGAGAACTTTTCACCTGACTACCCTAGTTTAACATCTAGATCGCCTCATCAACTCTGCAATTGTTTTCAACTAGTTTCTGACTCTCATTCATACAACACCAGATCTGTTTCGCAGGGTAACCTGGTGCCTCCAGTATCTAGATCTAACTCAGGAAAACGTAAATTTGCCTTTCGTGGGGTGAGTTTATTCAACGTTCTCCCTGCGACACTTAAACACCCTTGGCCTCTCACTTTAGCAAGTTTCAAGCTCCAGTACAAAAACTTGATTTTGTAAGAATTTAGGTACATATGGACTACAAGGACATGTGAGCATGGGCGTGTTTTTGTCTATGGGAATGTGTACATGTACATGTGTGTGTATATTTATGTGTAAGTGCACTTATGTATGTATATATTCATGTACATATATACATGAACTCCGCCTTTAATGGGGGTATATGTCCTTGATGGCTGCCGATATTGCTTTTACTGCCAATGTACCGACCAATCAAGTATTTTAATCCGTTTTAGTGTTTTATCAATTGAGTGTTATTTTAATGGTTATCCTTGCTGTTTTGTCGTTATTAATTGATTATCTAATATTGTTATTTTTTATCGTTAATTGCTTGTGTTTGCTGAGCACCTCTGGAAAAAAGTCATCCACTGAAAGGTTTTCCCAGGGTAAACAAGAAATAAATGCATACACACAGTGCATCTGGGCTGTGGGTGACAGGAAGAGGGCTGGCCCAACATCAAATCTTATGCCCACTTGAAGAGGCGAGGGTACTCTGAGAAATATCACCGTGGGAGAGGAAATGAATGATGACTAAGCTTTCACACGACAAGTGACTGTGATATAGAAATGAGGGGGGTCATTAGTTAGTCTCATGTGAGAGAAGTCTGGCCGGTGATCAATAGCGCCCTTAGCTGGGAAAAAAAATACGACTTTGGGCTAAAATGACAAATGGTTGGAAGTGACTAACCCGGCAGATATGTGTCACTGACTGCAGAAGACCACTCACAGCAACAGTGACACAGGATCAAACAAAGGTCCATTTGAGGCTCTGCCGTCATTTTAGATAGTGGAGAGTAAAATGGGAATACAAGAATACAGTTTTTAGGATGGTATAAGTAAAGTACAATATCTTTTTTTATCTTGATCACTGAGTGCTTGTTGGGTTCATCATCGTGTATGTGCAGGTACAAGGCTGATTCTGCCCAGGGGCGGCCTCGTATTCATTTGTGTCTGGCTGTTAAATTTCACACAGTGACTTGCAATAGAAAATGGCCCTTTTTTTAGGTTAAGCAGCGAGAATGTTGAGTGAGAGCAGATTAGATGTATCAGATTATTTTAGATGGGAATATCACATTCTTATACACAAATGTGTCCAGAAATACTTTGGGAATGTTTCTCATTCCAAAACAAAGGAGGTGGGAAAAACAACCATCCCAGAAATACATTTCAAAAGGGTCCCCTGGCATGTACACATTAATTTACTAATTACCCATCAAACACAACAATTAGCCCTAACACTCCTCAGTCCTCCCACAGGTGAAGGATTGAGGAGGGTTAGGGTTAGTCCTAATTCTCGACACACTTTTGCGAAGGACATTTCTGAACATTGTGCTGGAATCCAATGGCACTTTGTTGTAATCTACACTATCAAAGGGGATGCGGTCTCATGTTGAGAAAAACTGAATATGCTCTCTCTACCTTAATCCCCTCCGAATCCCAATTAACCTCCACATGGATTGTCAATGCTCTGGGAGAATTCTAGTTCACGAGCCCTTGAGGGAAAAAATGACGCTTGAGAATCTCACTGACCTGTGTCCGCTGAGATCCATCTCCCAGTAAGACCGGTCCTGATTGGCTCCGTTGAACAGGACCAGTAGGAAACCGTCCAATGAGGACATGCCTCGACCTTTGTCTGTGAGTTCAATGAACTCGCCAGCGCTCTCAGCCCCGCCACTGGCCTCAACGTTGACCTCATTGATAACAATATCTGGCAAAAACGTCCAATACCACACGATTATTATTTGTGACAGCCTGATTTTAGCCATCCCTGACAAGCAATTTTTTTACAGTTGGTCTCCTCACAACTACCCAAGGATCACACCTGGCATTCAACGGCCATCAACCCTTTTGTGGATAGTATTATTTTGGGCCGAAAATGTCAACTTTCAGAAATGGCAAGATTTCGTGAACGACTTTTTTTATAAAGCCACACACTACGAACACTAATTCACAAGAGTTATTTCACCGGTATTTGTAGCAAATCTCACAGCAACCTCATATTTTTCAATGCTCTGGGGTGCACTCTGGAAGTGACACGTGCTACAAAAGGCTTTGTAGAGTTCAAGCACAATACACGCTCTGCCTCCACAGACTTCTTGGACTTTTTGTGTAGGTATAAACAAACAGCAGATTAGCGTGTTTAAACATCAGCCCGTGGTGAGAAAGGTACGGAAGACATTTTGATCCATCAGGCCTGCCTGTGCATAGAGATAGCCAGATAATGTTTTCACGTCTTTGGTTGCAAAGTGGCTTGAACAGTCAAGTAATGACACATTTTGTGTCCCCATGGACATGAAAGAAAGGCACGCCTAGAGAACGATCGATCTGTAACTGAGTGTGTAAGAAAAAAAAACCCACACTATTATGACACAACACAGGAGACCGGGTAGATTTTGGGTCAGAGTACATACATCTCTGTCAACAGCAATGTATCACACCTAAAAACAAGTTCCATTTGCACTGCTCCCTATCCATTTAAGGTAAAAACTGAATCATGAATTTCCTGAGAGCCATTTCCCTCGACAAAACTATGTTTTAAAAAAATCTCACAGAGTGATACCTCTTAATTGGAATACATCCCACTACTTACCCTAGACGAGCACATTTTTTTTTTCAGTGGTATAATATGAATTTTGTGATGTGGCCAAACACAAATCAACGTCTCCTCCATTCTGAAATAAGGTCAGACTTCAGTTCCCGAGTAACGGGGGACTTACGTTGCCAGATGAAAGAGAGAAATGTCTCTGTCAAAGTTCCCTTGAGTGAGTCACGGCCAATGGGTAATTGACTTGAGATTGACTTGTAATTGACGATTGGGGACAATCTGTGAGAGAGAATCGAATGGCACTGACCTGGGTAGATGGAATTGGAGAATCTGCTGCAGTTATTTGGTCGTCCTGGGGACGGGAAGCCCATGCTGAACACCTCAGGGCTGAGCCGCTGGTTACCGTGGCAACGGTTGATGGTTTCATCCCCCGTCGCATGATTGGCGTCCTCCAAGACAACAGATCGGCCTGATGGAGGTTTAAACAAAAAAGACCAACCAAATTCAAGACCGGCTATGGTCACATTTTTTAGAGATTCCCCAGATGGTTTTCATTTGACTTTTCTTTGTTCCATTTAAACAAAACAGAAAATATTGCCAAGAAGTACCAGGAAGCAGCTTGTCCACCAGACTGATGTGACTGTTGTCCTCCGTTGAGTAAACAATGGCATCCACCAAACTCCTGGAGGTAGCCTGGGTGCCCTGTGGGAAGGCGCCGCTCGGGGCGCGATACAAGGCAATGGCGTCTGGCCCATCTTGCAGGAATCCCCCGCTGGTTCTCGGCCTGAGTTTGAGATTCACTGAGAAACAAGCAGAAAAAACATCTGGGGTAGTGGGGTATATTTGGCTTGACTCCACATCACAAAATGTTTGCTCAGATTATTTCCCGCAAACTCCATGATTTTCCAGTGTCACAAAAGAAACTCCATACATTCTTTGTATTTAAATTTCCGAGGGCTATCAATACCCATGTCAAGTAACAGAGCCCAGGCTGTGCCATCCTTAATCCTACAGAAACTACCAACACTATCTATGGATTCTGAAAGATGCGATCCGTGACTGGAACAAGGCTTTGTCTCAAAACGCACATTTGCCCCTTTCAAAAGAGGGAGACATGTTTATCTATCATTTTGCATGAGATTTTAACAAATCTCTGTAAATTAATTGTTTGCTTTGTACTGATGGCCAGCCATTTTAATCAACCACAAGCAGGGAAAATCTTTGACTGTGACATAGTAAGAGAGAGGTCTATGGATCATTTGAGGAGAGTTCATTACTGCATTGACACCACACCCAAGCTGGTGTCGTTACATGTGAGCATGAACACACTTTAGAAAGTCACAATGCCCAACTGGTCAAAGAAAAATGTTACAAGTGTATTACCTGCACGTAAGCATGGTGCTCTGCAGTTATGACTTATAATTCTGGTTACCAGATATGAAGCTTGAAAGTCACATGGTCTTACATTTTAATCCTAGAGGCATCTTTCTCAAAACCAGTGAACATTTGGTTCTGTGCAAGATCACAAACACATATACCATACCTCTTTCCGTATCCTGAGCACCGATCACAAAGTAGCCATTGAGGTCAGTGCGTTTGCCATGCAAGTCCACGGTTGCATAGGAGCGGTCGTCGTAGTGTCCGTTGAACAGGACCAGGCTCAGGTACTGCATCTTGACATTGCCCACCCCACCGTCATAGAGTTCGATGAACTCCTCCTGCGTAGCCTGGCCGGGGTGCTCCACGTTGACCTCGTTGATGATGACATCGTTGGAGTAAGTGGGGCAGTCGTTGAGGCTCCTCGGGGTGTGGGGCCGGAGGACAAACGGCCGACGGGAACGTAGACTGGGCGACAGACAGCGACTCAAGGAGAAGCCAGACATCTGGAGTGTCCTGGAATCAAACTGGAGAAAGCCCAGAGATTTCTGTTTGAGGCTCCCTATCTGCACTTGCATCGGTTCTATCTGGTGTACTAAGCTCTTCATTACTGCATCTGTTGGCAGCCCCAAGCAATGGGGGAAGGGGGGGTAAGCAACATTTATGAAAAGGAGTGCCCCAAATGGAAGTGAAGCTTATCATACAAGGGGGCATATTTTAGTCAGAATTTCTGCTTTTAAAAACAGGAACTAACCGGTTGAGGCCAAAAGAACTTCGAAACACAGAAAAGGTATCTTCCCCCAAAAGAGGAAGCACACAATGGAACACTCCCTCTGGATCTGCTACCAATATCAATAAACAGAGGATATAAACCACAAAATGAGTCTTGCCGCCAATTTTTCTGATGCTTTGTTTCAGTTTGAAATAGAACGACCAATTCCAAGTGTTTATTTTGACACATCACTCCACTTGAAAGACTGACAAAAACAGTCATCCTGGGGACGAACAGTTTAGGCTTCCAACTTACAGTGCAAGATTTATTTCAATGTCCGCAACTCTGAGGCTTCCAACTTACAGTGCAAGATTTATTTCAATGTGCGCAACTCTGAAGTAAATCTGGCAACTTGCAACTCATTTTGCTAGACTGGGTTGCAACATAAGCAGTGTCCAAAACTTATGCCCCCCCCACAAAAATAGCCTCCGGTTTTTGGTCAGCGCATACATCGCCGTAGACCTGCGTGTTGGCAAAATAAAGTTTTTTTTTATTTAGTATATAACAATGTCCAAAAGCTGCCACACTTGCTTAATTGACTGGAATCCTACTATTCTGCATAATTTTAACATGTTTTTGATCGGGTACAGTTGAATAATATGTACAGTAAGGGAGTCCCTCCAGTTCCCTATACATTTAGTCGGGCACTCTTGTTCAGATGACGTCATTTCTGAATTATACATTTACATCTGGGAACCAGACAAACGAGGTGGTCTTATGTCCTGTGTCCATGTACAAGGTGATAATGCTTTTAAACAGTAAAAAGTGTGGGGGCCAGTTTGTTGTAATGTTGGTAATGGCCAGTGTTATGTGCACACGCAGACACCACAGACATCATACGTTATACGTACATCATTTACAGAAAAAAAAAAGCATTGAAAAAAAAAAAAAGCTGTGTCGCTGCACCATTTTTGGAGCCAGCTCCTGACCAGAAACCGGAGAATTTTTTGGCCCAAGTTGAACATTTTCTTCTTTCTTTTCAAACTTAATTTGGCTTCAGGGCTCACCAGCATGGAAACCAGGAGATATCATATGAGCTCATCCAGTGAGGGGAGAGGTGAGGGCTGGGGAGTGACTATCATTTCTCCAATCATTTTGCCAATTTTGTACAAGATTTATTTCTGTTTTAATTTCTGTATTAAAGTTTGTAAGGTGTCCTTACACTTCTTGCACCTTGTTGTATTCAGTGAGATTTTGACTATTAAAGTAAAACACCTAAGTTTCTAGAAGTGAACCTTACGCCTGAGGCTGTGCTTGGTGTCAGTACGTTGGTTAGCCCCGTGGGCTTACTGTTCAGGTCTGTGTAGACAACAGCGTCAATCAGGCCCTGGGATGAAGGCGGACCACTCTCTGGAAATGAGGCTGCCGTGGATGCTCTATACAATGCCACAGCTCCGTACATGTGCCGCATGAACCCTGGGCAGGAAGACAGTGCAGCAAAGTCAAACAAATTATGGACCAAATGAAGGAACTTCTGACAAAAGGGCAAAAACCTTGCCCAAATCCAGGCCTGAATCTATCAAACCTGAAAACTTATGCCAAGCTCAAGCCCATAACCTCCTGCTCACTAACGCAGACATCTATAACCACTCAACCACCATGCTTGCCAGGGTTGGCTTATAGAAGTCAATCTGAAATAGCTGACCATAATCACTGATTTGAAATGATTTTTGGAAAGATTTTTTTTTTAACCATGTTCTGTTCAGTGTTAAGGCCACTTCATACTTCGGGCAAATGCACAAGTAACACAAATTGGACATAAAACACATTCACAGTGAAATTCGCTTGAGTTGAAATGTGGTCAACTGTTGTGAATTTGCAGTTGATTAATCTGATGTTACAATTTCACATTTGTGTTTGCTTTCAGGACCAAGCAGGACCCAAAGAACCCCAAATGAGATTACGGTATACAAGCCCCAGGTACATGTATAACGTAGGGCCTGAAAACCCAATCCATGTGTTTACCTGGGCAGACTACCAACCCAGTACTCAGAGGCAGAAGTCAAGGAAAGAACCACAAACCACCACACCAACCTGACTCCCCAAATTTTCATCGTTTATCACAAACACTTTTTTCTGTCAAATGAAGGGATCACACCGAGTTCGGATCCCTAACTGGCATTCTCCTTACCATCGGCAAACAAGAACTGGGCCTTAGGCAGTACGTTTATGGTCCCCATGATGAAGTAACCCATGCTGTCTGTGGAGAATCCAGTCAGTGGTATGGTCCAATAGGAGGCGTCACCTTCTCCATATAGCACCACCACAAAATCATCTGTTGGGATGCAAATGATAGTTTTACAAGTACAGAAGCTTGACTGAATAAAAAATTCAAATCAATGTCAAAAGGAAGAGGGAGAAACTTCTAGTTGACAATGTAATCTACTGAAGGCAGGGCCATTTTTTTTCTCTGATAAATGAAAGGCAAATTCTTTGGTCTGTTCTATCCTCCTGCCTTCAAAAAGTATTTAAAACACCCAAAAATATACCTTTACCTCCGTAAGCCAATAAGAGGATACATAAAAAAAATCCAAAACTTTTTGGTTCCCCTAAAACATGCTTTGCCCCCAATTATTTGGTTCAGAATATGCCCTTGATTGAGGGCTTTCGAAATTACCAGAGCCATTTTAGTAATTTTAGAGTTTAACCCTAACAGTCCTCAGTCTTCCAACAGGTGAAGGATTGAGGACTGTTAGGGTTAAAGCCTTGAAAAGAATCCTGCACAATGGAAAACATAGGAACTGTCTACATTTTTCACACACAAAGTTTCCCTTTCGATCAGGAAAAAAATGAATGAGGGAATCATCAAAAGAGAGAGCTCGGTTTCGTTCTTTCTGATCCACACTGGAGCAGAATTACTGGGAAAATGGCCTTAAGACTCATTTTGACAGATCAGGTCACACATGTGACAAGCTACTACCCTTTAACCAAATATGTAATTTCTTCGACTTTTAAGTCAATTACTGGGAATTGAAACAAATCTAGTTTCTCCTGAAAAAAGAGAAAGGTACCCGATGACACTGGTGATAGACTGATACTCCTTGGTGGAACAAGCACACGGAATATCCAGTGTTGTATTCCAGATCTCTTAAGACCATCACAAAACCATCACAGACTGACGCAAGACCTCCAGTCTGAATTCAAGTCAAGTCACAAGCTATTCAAATGGACTGCAACAAAAGCATTACTTTGCCACTGTTCACCCTGTTACCTGTGACTGGTCTAGTGCGTGGTCTTGTGCATGGTCTTGTGTCTGGTCTTGTGCATGGTCTTGTGTCTGGTCTTGTGCATGGTCTTTTGTCTGGTCTGTGATGGTCTCAACTACAACACTGTGAATAATTCTTTCACCAAAAAGGTGTTGTGACTTGTCAACTTGCACATGCTCCTCAGGTTTATGAACAACCTTGTGAGTGCTGTGCCACCAACACCACTACAGTAACACACGGAGCATCTTTTCGGATTAGTCTTTGATGTAACCATCAGCTAATCAGGGCATTTAGCTTACACAACTAGTAAAGCTCAAAGACTGACCGAGGGAAGTGAAGCCAGCGCCAAGATCCCACAGCTCAATAAACTGCTCTGACGGTATCAAGTTCAGTTCGTTAATGATCAGGCCGGCATCCGGTCTACTTGGGCAGTGATTGGGTGCCTTGGGGGTGATGTGGGCCAGCTGGTAGACCGTGTTGTTCTGGCTGTCCACGCAGCGGTTGACTGACTCATCTCGATGGCTCCACGAGGCGTCCTCGTTGATTTGGAACCGGGGGGCGTGGGGCCGGAAATACTCAATCAGGTGCTGAGCAGTCTGGGCATCGTCCGTACCGTGGATGATGACGTCCACGAGACCCTCGGTTGTCGGGGGCGAATTCTTGGGGTGATCTGCACTCTTCAGTCCTCGGTGCAGTGAGATGCCGTTGCTGCCCTCTCTAATCTTGCCCGTGGGGACTCGGAAGGGGGTCTGGTCTGGACGGGGGGAGGTCAGTCCACGGTAGCCGATGAGGTAGAAGCCATTTTTGTCTGTGTGCGCACTTCTGATGCTCACGGTATTGTACAACCGCGGGTTCCTATTAGGGTTTCCCCTCCAAAAAAACTGAACCACAGAAATCAAGCATTTAGGGGTTTTTTGCGAATGCATCTGAGAATGCCTACATGAAGGAAGAGGAGCCACTGATGGTAAAGTCTACTGCACTCCATCTCTAAATACAGTGGTCTTTAATAATCCTACTCAAAGCAACGACATACACAAGTTAATGTGAGATGACCTGCTACACACCGATATGTTAAAGTGCAAAGAAAAAAGACTTCAAATATTTCGACATCGAAGGTTTTGGAGGTACATGTAGATTGGCCATCTCAAAACCAAGACACCATCAATTTATCCGTTGAAAACCAACACGACAGAAATAAGATGCAATTTCTTTCCACAGCCAACCGGGCTGATTTTGGAAACATACGAGGTCCAATTTTGTTTCTATGTTGGGTTGATGATGTCATGGGGAAAAAGGCGGATGCATGAAGCATGCATGAAGATACATGTAACTGGCATCGTTGCAGCCCAAATGCACTAAAACAAAGAGTTTTGACATACATTAACATCTTGGATGCATAAATTTAAAATCTTACTCTTAGCTGGTCAAAATAATTGTGAAATTTGTTCTGAAAACGAAGGAGTACGAGAGATGGAAGGTCGAGAGGAATGTATCGTTGCGTGGCATACATACACATGTACATGTAAGAGTGCACTCGTGCTCATGTGCTGTGGTAAAAGAATATTCAGGGAGACTACGCCATGGAGAATAATGAAATCAGTATCAGAGTTAGCAGACCTAAATCTCTGGCCAAACTGCGAGCTACATGTACCTTGTACAGTGCACAAACACATATACATGTGAAGCTTCTAAAAAAACGACAGCACCCATGTGCGTGCTCGTTTGCCGAGTCTACATTTTCAGTGTGTCCAAGAAAAAGAGCTTAACACGTATCAGATTCTTAGACTGGAAGTGAGTGGATTCAATTCTTGTGACAGTAACTTTAATTTACTCAGCGATGAATGAGGACGGCATGGAACCTGTCCACGTTGCCGGCAACTGCAACACAACGCGGGCGGTCAGTGAGGCTTTAATATGCGTTGCTTTTCTAAATTTGAAGTGCTTGTGTAGATGCTGGAAATTTGTCTATTCATCCAAAAATCCTTGGCAATTATTTATTTGCGGCTACCGGGAAGATTTAAAATCTACCTTTATTGCACTGTCTGGGACAATTGATTCAATATGTCATTGCACGGAAACCCTGAGAAAGAACACAAGTCTCAGTGTACGAGACTCCTGACTGAAACTAGAAGCAGCACAAGACCGGGGTATGTTTCATTTTATGACAAAAACACAACAAATCATGCACTTAAACTTGATGGAACAATCAACGCAGTGGACGAGAACTGCGCAAGAATATTGCATTTTGAGTGTGCTTCTACTGTCCCCTGAGACTTGCATGTGAAGATGCCCCGTGTTTACAGCTGTATCTCCCTGTGACATTTTGGGGACATCGGCATATCATAAATACATAATGAGTGTTTCTGAAATCGGCGAAAAAGGGACACAGGAAGTCCATTTTTTAAACTTTTTTTTAACCATAAATGGGAAAACTGTTCAATTTATTCATGTTCATTTTGGAATATGGTCTTATCACCTGTTCTTTAAAACTTATAATTGGGAAAGAAGGGTTCATTTTCAATGCCTCTATAACAAGATCTAACAGGTCAGCTCCTCGATGTCAAATGGTCTCAAACTCTGCCAGCCACCACAGGATCCAACAGTGACATTCACTGTTCCACTACTGTCAGTTAGGCTGCAGCTGTTGACTGCATAATGCAATAAAGGCCCACATATACGTTGCACACTGGGCCACATAATGGCCGATTCTCTGTCAATCCACTCTTGTTTGAGTTGCACAACGCTGTCATCTGTCAGCGTATGAATTGGAGTGGAGGTACAGTTCAGGTTAGGATCACAATAAGGGTTAATAACACTTCACAAAATGGTTACCAGAAGGTATCACCAATTTCTTTTGTTTGTCTGATTTTAGGGAGGATGCGGGAGGGGTGGGATGCTTAACTTGGCCCCTTTAACCCTCCTATGCTGAGGTCACTCTTGGGGTCATTTGGTAAACACCTCAAGGAAGCACAGCTGTGTTGTGTGGTGCACTGCACCTTTGTGCTGCCCAACAACTGTGCTTCACTGTTTCATGTGCATCATTGTGCAGTAAACCAAATGCAGTGAAGAGGACTGCACAAAGGACCCTGGGTCATTTT